AAAAAAGTGTACTTAGGAAAACATAGCACATAATATTATAAATCAGGTTTGTTCAAAAAATATACAACGTATGGCTGCCCAAATATATACACACCCACCTATTCTCACCACACAAAGGACTAATATTGCCCCCCAAAAAACCCAATACTCAAAATTTATGACCTAATATCCCMGACAGAATACAATTTCTAATTCAAGGGAATGCATCTCATGCATCCTCAAAATTACAATTCCATACAAATTTAATGATTATTAAGTCTGCTTGTATATTCCAGATTGACAAGTAAATATAAATGTTTGATGGGGGGAAAGGAAATTCTTTGCTTTAAGGCAAGTCTAAACTGCAAACAAATTTACAAGTGAGCATACATATTTATACAGGTAATATCTCATTAGGGCCAACTGCTAGAATGTCTATGGTATGATAGAATCCATTTTACCAGAAACTGAAAGGAAAGGGAAAGAAAATACATTATTGTCTCTCCACAAAAACAGCCCTGAAAAATATTGTGTACTAAGAAAGAAATGTTGTGTATTAAGCAGAACAAGAATGTGGCAACATTATTCAAGCATGATATCTAGATTACCGTATGCAATCTAAATCTCACTGGAACTTAATAATTCAGTATTAATATATCCACGGGATTTTAAAACYTGGAGAAAAATCAGTCATGGTTCATAGTCATACAACTAAATGTTAGAACTAAAATTAGAACACAAATTTGTACAATCCCAAAGCCTATGCTTCAGTAATATGTCACTTTTCACAAAAAGGAAAGAAAACAAACTTTCACTTCATAGGAATCAAACACATTATCATAGGCTGAACTGTGCTTCACCGAAAGTAATATGCCCAATTGCAACCCCCAGTACCTAAGACAGTGAACAGTCTTTAATAATGGGGGCTGGGAATGTGGCTCACTGATAGGCTGCTTGCCTGGCAATGGTGAGGCCCTGGGTTTGATCCCCAATACTGGGAAAGAAAAACAAAGTAATTAAGATTCAATGAGGTTATTAAGGTAGTCCCTAAGTTGTTATAATTGTGTTCTAATAAGAACAGGAGTATAGGACATCAACACACACAGGGAAGACCAGGAGAAGACAGAGAAAAGTCATCTTCAAGACAAAAAGAGAGAGAACCTCAAAAGAAACCACACCCCAATTTAGCCTACGAAACAGTAAAATAGTAAATTTCTGCATAACTAATCTGTGTTACTCTTTCTGGCAGCCATAACAAATGAATATACCCACCTATTCCTTTCACTGTTATCTATTAAACTTCTGATATCTTCTTCTGCTAGATGGTCCCTAAACTTAAGAGAACTTTAATAGGGGGAGAAATACTAGAAACATATTTAATATARGAACAACGGAAGCACTACCAGTGAAAAATTACCATGCACTTATATAAAGCATTCAGTACAAGTGAAAAACAATAGAGCCACGCAAAAAAACAAAACAAACAAACAAACAAAAAAACCTTAGACCCTCAGTAACTCAGCAAGACCCTGTCTCAAAAAATAAAATAAGGCTGAGGATGTAGCCTAGTGGTAAAATGATCCTGGGTTCAACTCTCAATACCCTCACCTGCCCTCCCCCACCAAAAAAAAAAAGAAAGAAAGAAAGCACACATATATGCACTTGGGCTCTCTATTCAAATATATTTACATACCATGGTGAGTTAAAATATAAAGTGTTCTGGAATGCACAAGAAGCATTCCACACTGTATTGCACAACTGACAGATAACTTTCCCCATAAAGAACCTGCATCATTTCTGGGGGCAATAATGAAAAAGAAGCCCTCAGTGATTTAAGCAATGCACATTTAATATAAAGAATTACTAAGCAGCAATGAAAGAGCAATCAGAAGATGTAATGAGAATTTTCTAAGATACTCTCTGGCTTAAGAAGGATAAACTTGGAAAGTAGGCCTGTTTCCTAAGCAGAACTCATTCGGTTCCATGCAAATCAAAATGCAAGGAACCCAAAATAGACAAAACAATTTCAAAACGAACAAAGTTGAAAGACTCATACTTCTCAATTTCAAAACTTACTAAACAACTACAATAATAGAGTGTGAACAGATATCTAGACCTCATTGCAGAAGGCAAAACTGAAGCTCAATGAATAGCAGAGAAGTCCACTTGGTTAACCTACCCAGAGCTGGCCCACAACTGGATATGCATGAAGCAACCACACAGACAGTAACCAAGAACACAGGCCCAAAGGTGAGTTGGTCTGCCATATAGGTAGGAAACCTAGAATGCCTGATGTCCATCCCAGGATGGTGGCAGAAGACAAATATGAAGAGGAGATGACTATGAAGGAGTCAGGGCACAAATTCATACACAGAAGCCCTCTGTGCTGGAAGTGCCACAAAGTGATAACCAGGTTGGGCCAGGGCTCTGTGGTGACAGARGATACATATTTCCAGATATTCAACTGTAGCAAGAAACCCTCACCTATACTGCTGACCAATAGAACACAGATAGAATCATCAACAGATATTGCAGCCTCTTTCTCCTGCAATCTCTCTCTGATGCCTTCTACTGGRGATATTTAATAATGATCTCACTATAAAGGAGAAATGCTACAAGGATTAAGTTCATTATCACAGAGGCAGTAATGATGGGTGATTTTGGAACGGAGAGGCAATAAATTGGTAACTGGAAGAGTGGTTTTACAGTGTCCCATCATTTAAAGAATTTTCATGTAAGTCTAACATTATTTGTTATTTTGAGCTGAGTTCTTTTAAAGTAGATGAATTCTTTAAAAAATCATATATAGCACTATAAAAAAATACAGACCAACATCCCTTATGAATGCAAAATATTCAATGAAATACTAGCAAACCAAAGCCACTGACATAAAAAAAATTACAATTTATTGCTAAAATGAAAAGTTGACAACATGTAAAATTCAATCAACACAAAATGTAGCATTAAAAGAATAAAGGATAAAACCACAATAGTTCCCAAACTAATGTAAAAAGTTCATTAAAAAAAAAAAAGTTCAGCTAGCTTTTTTGGCAGAAACTGACAAGCTGATCCTAAAATATAAACTGAAATGCAAGAAAACCAGAACACCCAAAACAATTTTCAAAAAGGATGAAGTTGAAAGACTCATATTTCCCAACTTCAAAAATTATTACACAGCTATAATAAGAGTGTAAACAGATATCTAAATTAATGGAACAGAACTGAGAACTTACAAACCAATCTGTACCAATATCAATTTGCAGCCTCTTGCTTCCAAATTCACCCTTCATTACTGGCAGAATTCCTTTAGGCATTTCTCCTTTACATTTAGTCAACTGATTTTGACAAAGCTACTAAAATAATTCAGTGGGGAGAGTACAGCGATTTTAAGAAATAATAATGGATGACTAGATATTCATATGCAAAAGGATGTTGGATGCCTTCTTCCATTCATAAAAAATGGATCCAAAGCCTAATTTTAAGAGTTAAAGYTATAAAGCTCTTAAAAGAAAACAAAAAGCATAAATCTGCATGACCTTAGATTAGACAATGGCTTCTTAGATATGATATTAAAGGCATGAGCAACAAAAGGAAAAAAAAAATAGGAAAACTGGGCTTTATCTATTCAAAAGATTGTTGGCTGTGGTGGTGCATGTCTGTAATCCCAGCCTACTCAGGAATCTAAGGCAGGAGGATCACAAGTTCAAGACCAGCCTAGGCAACATAGTGAGACCATGTCTCAGAACAGAAAAGGGTTGGGGCTGGACGGTAGAGCACATGCTAAACTGTGCAAGGTCCTGGATTCAATTCCCAATATCACACACACATGAACACACACACACACACACAAAAAAAATCAAGTTTGTGCTTCAAAGGACACTAGACAGCAAATGAAAAGACAACCTGCAGAAAGGTATCTTTCCCATACTTTGGAAAAGATAYATTAATAGCAAATAAGATGAAAAGATGCTAAACACCATTAGCCATTAAAGAAGTGCAAATCAAAACAAACTACATTAAGATTAACATTTTATAGTAACTAGAATTCCACTCAAGACAAAATAAGAAATGTTGGTGAGGATGTAGAAAAATTAGAACATTCATATAGTGCTGAAGAAATATAAAATAGTCCAGCCACTTCAGGATAAACAGCTTTACCAATTAACCTAATATTTCCATTTCTAAGTATATACCAAAAAGTAGAAATAAGTCTGAAATACTTGTACATGAATGTTCATAGCACTATTAACAAAAGCCAAAAGGTGCAACAACCCAAACATCCATAACAGGTGAGTGGGTAAGCAAAATATAGTATATATGCATGATGGAATGTTACTCAGCTATAAAAATAAATGAAGCACTGATGTATGTYGTAATGTACATAAACCTTAAAAACATTACAAAAAAATGAAAGCTAAGGGAAAAAAGACCACATTTTGTCTGACTCCATTTATATGAAATGGGAACAGGGAAGCCCATTAGAAAGCAGATTAATGGTTTAAGGTGCTGGGAGAAAGAATAATGCAGCATCGTGGTTTAATATTAGAGGGTTTTTTTCTGGATGATGAGAATGTTTTGGAATTAGATACAGGTGGCGGTCACGGAATATTATGAATGTACTAAAAAAAATTCCTAGTCTTTATGGATAACCAGATGTTTTCCTTTCCCTTTTAGAGATTCACAATGCAGATTAGCATTTTTAAGAAATTCTATAGTAAAAACACTTATGTAAGTTAACATTTCTGACACAATGGAGACTCTCAGTTAAGTGTTTATCATATTGTGGGTCACTACCCAGGTTAAAATCAATTTAGTGACTCAGAACCTTTGAGAAATGGAATAGAATAGAAAATACTACACTGCATCCAATACCGTAAAACATAAGCATTGTTTTTCATGAAGTTTTTGTTTCTATTATACATAGTGAACTAGGACAGGCTGTCAAACATATTTCTTACCGTGAGTCACCACTAAAAAACTCTGAAAAACACTTTTAATGCAACAAACAAATCTTACCTTACTTACCATATTATAAAATTCCAGCTCTCTCGGGCCCCTTGGAGGTGGCTGTAACTGTTTCAAAACTGTGCCATCTGGGTGTTGCAGTATACCTATGGAACAAAAATTAGAAAGTTTTTAGTGTTTTAATTATAGGGTACATTAATTCACAGGATATATTTGTTCCAGAATAGGCAAACCACTGTCATAAGTTCAGCGATTCAATTTTACTTATATTAGAAAATTTAATACTTAACAAACATGTTTTAGTACTTTATATGCAAAGCACTAGAACACAAATTCTAAATCACTTGGTTTTATTGTCTCCAACTGCTACACCCTTACAGTTCCCTCATATTCTAATAAATGTAAGTGTAAATTTTTATGAAAATACCTCCGTAATAGACATTCCATTAAAAACAAGAGACAAGTTAAAAGCAGCAGCACAAATTGATCCTGTTTTTATAAACACAAAATAAAAATGCCAATGGTGGCCACATATGGATTTCCTACTTGGTAATGTTTTAGAAGTCTCTCCTCTATTTTAAGAAAGCAACTTAAGAAATTTTCCTGACTCTCATGAACTGTACACAGCTGTATAGATAGTACAAGGATATGTAGCCACTGGGAAAAGTGAGGGCTGAGAGCAGCCACCAAGTCTTGTGTAGGAAGGGGAACCTTTTTATAATCAGTTCATTCAAAGTGGGGAGTCTTTAACTCAACAAAAGCAGAGAGTTTCAGCTTAAGAAATACAGCAATCAATTCTGTTTAAGACCTACTATAGATTAGAAGGAAGGTAAATATTAATCCATTTGGATAAGATGAGTTTGTAAGCAGTTAAAAAGATCTGGGGACTTTAAGAGTACTAAAATATAACTAAAAATTATGAAAAAGGAATTCCATTCCTCAAAGTAAGGACTTAGAACAAGTAAATCCTTTGCTCCTCTGGTTATGACATTTTCTGTGGGACTAATGAAGAGTGTTATATACATAAAAAGTCTGGATGAAAAGATTTCCAATTGTCAACCTCTTAGAAACAGAAGATGGAACTGTGCTTACCAAGGGCTGGGAGAAAAGGGAACAGGGGAATTATTCAATGGTTATAAAGTTTTTCTCGCCTAAAAGTAGTAGGTTAGGAGTTGCCACTGAGAAATCTGACCTCTACATAGTGTCCCCAAGGCTCCTACAGCCTTGAATGGCCCTTTCCCACCTGGCTTCCTCTGTTGATTGATTTTCTAGTGGGTTTTCTCCTGTCCTTGGCATCTTACGGCAAGAAACGAGGGCCTCAAGCCCCTATCCCCTATCTAGTTTGGCAGTAGAGTTAGATGTTGTACTGTGTTTTTTGTTGTTGTTTTATTTTCCTCCAAAATTAAAGAATGCAAAWTTTTTTTTWAAAAAAGCAGTTTAATACAGAAAAAAAATCAAGAAGTTCCAGAGATGTGTTGCACAATAATGTGAACTYAGTTAACACTTAGTTCATACTTACAAATAGTTAAGATGGTCAATTTTACATTGGGTCTTTTACCACCACCACCACAACAACAACAACAAAAGTTGTGTATTCAGGAGGACTATAACTATGTAAAAATAAACACAAGTTAAAATTTCCATCTGCACCAGGTGCAATGGCAAACACCTATAATCCCAGGGGCTCAGGAGGCTGAAAGCATTAGGATTGAGAGATCAGAGCCAGCCTAAGCGACTTAAGGAGGACCTAAGCAACTCAGCAAAACATTGYCTCYAAATAAAATATAAAAAGGGATGAGGATGTGGCTCAGTGGTTAAGCACCCCAGAGTTCAATCCCCAGTTTAAGGGAAAAAAAAAATTATCCATGAAAGGAACATTCTAGGTAAGTTTTCTTTCTTTTCTTTTTTTTAAATTTTTCTTCCAGAAACATGTCTTGCTTTTATTATTAGAAGTAAAACTATGACATGATAAATAAGCATATGCTAACTGTATCTTCTGTTTAAACTCAATTATATAAATAAAGTATAAAAAAATACTTAAGGGAAATTTTTTTAAATGAGAGAAAGGGACTGAAAAAATATTTGACAAGACAAAGGCTGAAATATTCTAAAAACAAATGAAAAACAAAAACATGGAGCTAAGACAATCAGAATATTAAATAGATGGAAAAAACAAAATCCTAAACAGTTTAAATATAAAGACATGTAGGTTATAAGTAAAAATGAAGGAAAAGGGTAATATGCAAGTACAGGTCATAAGAAAGATGATATATCAATATTATTATACATCAAACTACACAATATCAGACACCATAAGCTTCAAGAAAACATTCTATAATAATAAGGTCAGCTCATTAAGAAGACACAAATATATACATACCTAATAACAGTTTCAAAAGACATGTAGCAAAATCTGACAGAAGTGAAAGGATTAACAAAACCATAAATAAAACCCCAATGACTTTCTTAGTAATCAATAAAACATTAGTACATGATATATAAAACTTCAACATTATCAAACAACTTGACCAATTCGACACATCGAATGTCATATCCTGCGGGGCTTAGTGGCATGCACCCCAGAGTCCCAGCTACTCAAAAGACTGAGGAAGCAGGATCACTTGAGGCTAGGATTTGAAGCCAGCCTGACCAATTGTTTCAGTGTTTAGTGACCAACTTGTTCACTGTTGCAACCAAAAGACCTGACAAGAACAACGTTAGGGGTGGAAAAGTTTATCTGGCACTGAGGGTTTCAGAGGTCTCAGTCCACAGACAGTCAGCTCCACTGCTCTGGGCCCAGGGATTGGCAGAATGTCATACCAGAAGAGTGTGGAGGAAAGCAGCTCAGGGCATGGCACTAGGAGGCAGAGAGGAGGGAGGGAAAGAGGGAGAGAGAGTATGCCCCTGCCTACACCCCGCAGTCTCCAAGGACAAAATATATAATCCAAAAACCAACCTCTTCCAGCCACACTATACCTGCCTACAGATAGTTACCACTCAGTTAATCCCTATCAGGGGATTAATGCACTAATTAGATTAAGACTCATAACCCAATCATTTCACTTCTGAACTTGCTTACATTGTCTCACTCCTGAGCTTTTGGGTTCATATCTAAACCACAACACCAACATGGCCAAATTCCATTTCAAAAAAAGCTACATCCAACAGAATACACATTCTCAAGCACAAATGGACCATTTACTAACTCAAGCTAGGCCATTAAAAAGTCTTAAAATCTATAAGTTAGACTCATACAGAGAATATTCTCTAGCCACAATGGACATAACAAYACAATGTTTGGGGAAATACCAAATAATTGGAAAGTAAACAACATATGTCTATCTATGAATCAAAAAGCAAATAGGAAATTAGAAAGTATTTTAAATTAAATAATGAAAACTCAACATATCAAAATTTGTGGAATCCAATTCAAATTCTTAAAAGAGAAATGTGTAGTTCTAAGTGCTTATATAAGAAAAAAAAGTTCCAATTTAAGATGCTAGCAAAAGAATAATATATTAATTCCAAATACATAGAAAAATGTGAGCAAAAAAGTCATTGAAATAAGAAATGGACAATGGAAAGGGAAAAAGTGAAATCAAAAGGTGATTCTTTGAGATCAATAACATGAAAATATATATTCTCTTGGGGAATAAGTGAAAAAACACAATATCACTACAAATCCTACAAACATTAAAAGGACAGTAAGAGAATCAGAAATTTCATACTAGTAAAACCAACAATTCAGATAAAATGAACAAATTCCTTTAGACATAAATTATTGAAACTGACACAATAAGAAATCTGAATTGTCACGTCTACTAAAAATACTGAATTCATAATTTAAAACCTAAGACAACTTGCAGGGACCAATGGCTTTATGAGTAAATTTTATCAAACAACAATATCAATTAAAAAATTACCAAATTCATCAGAAAACAGAAAAAATATCAATTAGTTCCCAATTTTACAAAGCCAATATATATCATGATTTTTAAAAACCACAACAGATTTAATAAAATATATAGAACATGATCTCAAGTGAACATAGCCAAAAAAAAATTCAGCAAAACACAAGCAAATTAAACCCACCAATATATACAGGATAATTTATCATGGACATGTGAACTCTGTTCCAGGAATGCAAGTTGGTTTAAATATTTCAAAAATTAAATATACAAATGTTTTGAGCAAAGTTCTCAATGAAGAAAGGAGATATAAACAGAAAATGGGAGAAAACCAAAACCCTGTAGTATTGAATTTTAGTGGGGGGGTGGGCTAGGCAGATAGGTCAGTGGTAAAGCACATGGGTGAGGGCCCAGGTTGGTTCACCAGCACCACAAAAACATAAACAAATAAATACATTATAGGTATGGGGCTATACTTAATAGAATTTGCAAGGACCTGGATTCAAACTCTAGCACAAAAACACCAAAAACAAAAAACTCTGCTAAATTATAAGAATGAACTCAAAATTTCAACAATATGAAATTAAATATTTCTTATCCAATCTGGTGAAAGAATAAACAGAACTACATGCAAGGAGCAATGACCACACCTGGAATCCAGATCTTGATTTCTAAACACCATTCATCCCCATAGGAACCAGTTTCCTTGAAGAAAAATGGCTCATTTCAGGGTGTGAACATGAAAAGCACAAAATGAACATAGAAAACCTTTATGCCAGAAAGTGAAAATACAAGAAAAAAAGCAATATTAACATATAGTAGCAAGCCTGAAGAAGCTACCAGTGCCCAAATCTGGGAGAACATCAGCATTAAAATCACCAGTAACAATAATAGATAGTATCTATTCATTCAAATTTGAAATGAATATTCCATCCTAATAGATAATGAAGAAAGCTGGACATGGTGGCACACATCTATGATCTATGATCCCTCAGTCTGAGGGCAACACAAAATGACCCTGCTCAAAATAAAATTAAAAAGGTTAGGGCATAGCTCTGGGTAGAGTGCTAGCCTAGTACACATAAGACCTTGGGTTTGATGACCAATATCATTTTAAATAAATAAATAAATAAATAAATAAATAGATAAATAAATAAATAAATAAATAAGGAGGGGAATGCTGATTAACCAAAGTAACAGAAAAGGTTTGACTATTTGTTTTGCAACCATCATATTAA